CTTCAAACATAGCATTATTTTCCAAACTTGACAGTAATTACTCCTATTTTGAGAATAAAAAACATGTCAGTCCTATTTTGGAATTATCAAACTGTTTTAGTCCTATTTCGGGAACTTTCCCTATATATACAGCGCAAACAAGTTCATCTGATCATCTCTTCTCCATCGCCTGCCAATTTTCCCTTTTCTTTATTATCCTCTTTTTTGTGATTCCGATTTTCAAAAGTCAAAGGATATCATAGTTTGACTATAGTAGTCATTCATCATTAATATGGGGTGTTTGGAACTGATTCTGCTTCTGCTTCTTTTCTAAAGCAGAAGCAGAATCAGTTTTCAGAAGCTGGTACCCCCAGCTTCTAAAAAAATTGATTCTGGAAGTAAATTAGAGCATCAGAAGTGCTTCTGTAATTTCACCCAAACACTCTAGCTTCTCCTTGAAGGAGCAGAATCAGTTTTGAGAATCAGATCCAAACACCTGCCAATTTTCCTTTTTCTCTATTATCCTCTTTTTTTGTGATTCTGATTTTATGGCACTAACACGCCGTTTGGAACCACTGTTTTTTGGATTATCAGGCTTATCAGCAACTTTTTCACCAAACAAGTAACTTTTGCTTTCGCGTGCTGGATTATATAATAAACAGAAAAAGTAAGGTCAGAGTTACTTTTCTGGCTATATTGGCTGAAGTTACTGTAGATGACTATTTTAGCTATTTTATATTTTTACATATAATTTTTTCTTTATTTTATTAATAAAATATATTTTTAAAATAGTTTTTTCTTAAATTAGCATAATCAACTAATGCAACCACTTCAACTAGAACTTCATAAATTTCAGCAGAAACTGCCAAATCAGCCGATTTCCGTGCTACCAAACGGGCTCTAATTTTGCACTCTCAAAAATCATCTTAACTGCTGAGAAAAAGTAACTTGAGCCGTTTGAAGAACCTTATTGGTAATCAATGTAAATGATTGTAATTTTCATTATTAATTTAACTTAAAAGGAAAAATTACATCCATATGTATATAAGCTACTTGTTTTTATTACAAGATATTACCCGAAATTGGATTAAAAAAGTTTGAAAATTCTAAAATAGAATTGCCATGTTTTTATTCCCAAAATAGGACTAATTACTGTCATGTTTTGGCAGTACCAGATTTCAGACATGACAGTATTTTCCAAACTTGGCAGTAATAACTCCTATTTTGGGAATAAAAAACATGGCAGTCCTATTTTGGAATTTTCAAACTGTTTTAGTCCTATTTCGAGAACTTTCCTTTTTATTACGCATGTTGCGTGATTGAGAGCCCGTTTGGTGACCCCTTTTTCGGCTTATCAGGCTTATCAACCAGCTTTTTCTCCAAACATGTAACTTCTGATTTTGTAATAAGCAGAAAAAGTAAGTTGTAGTTGCTTTTCTGGGTGTATTGACTGAAGTTACTGTAGATGATCATTTTAGCTATTTTTTCATATAATTTTTTATTGAATTTATTAATAACAAATAATTTAAATATAATATTTTTCATGAATCAACAGAATCAGCCAATACAGCTACTTCAGCCATAACTTCATAAATTTCAGCAGAATCGGCCAATTCTGCCAATTCTGCCAATTTTAATGTTACCAAACGGGCTCTAAGTAATTACCAATTGATTTATTATTATGCAAAATATTAGTACATACATATTATATATTACGTACGGAGTATTACTTATGTGCATACGTAAGTCTAATAAGTTTTCTCAAAGAAAAAGAGAAATGGGAAAACAAAGGAAGGATGTCAAAGATAATAATTGTGTGCAACAATAACAAATTATAATCAAATTCTTGTTGTTGATGCAACACAGAAGCAGCCCAAATTGTTTGGCATGTGAAGGGAGCCCCTATTAAATCAAATCAAAATGTATTTTGTGTTCAATTTAAGTATGTAGAAAACAAAAAAAAATAACTTTATCAGGATTTGTTTCAAGACAAAAATGAATACATTTCTAGCCTTTACATTTTATCAGAACTATCAACATTATAGGCAAAAATATCATTATATTGTGTGTTCTCAATCTTTATGCTGAATCCGAAATTTATGCATATGGATTATGATAGAGTATATGGGTTTGGATCTACGGCCACACATTCTTGGATATACAACGGCCCAAACTCATCACATTACTGGGTCCCTTGAAGAAGTCCAGTCCAGAATGAAGAAATACACTTTATGTCCGTACAACCGTACATGTCACCTCGGCCCCATCACCTCGTTGATGTCCACACGCTCCCAGACAATCATTCAGAGGCAAGGACAACATCAGACCCGGGATGCACCCCTACACCTCGGCCATTGTCACCTCGGAGCACAGAAAACACTTAAGCAGAGGTCGATTAGAGAATGACACACGTCAAGTTCTGCTACGCCACATGACTCTCGCCCATAGGATAATCGACACATAAGGCTTTTTTACTCTTTGTTCAAACAACAATTCAATATCTAGAAGACAGACATAAAATAATTGTCTTCATATCTATTTGGTACAATCTGCATTAATTGGTTTGTTATACTCCTTTCGTTGCTAAAAAGAGATTTAGAGACCTTTTGGCAACACTGTTTTTTGGCTTATCAGCCAACTTTTTTACCAAATACCCAACTTTTGGTTTCGCGCTGAATTGTGTAATAAGCAGAAAAAGTAAGGTTGAAGTTACTTTTCTGGTTGTATTGGCTGAAGTTGATGTAGATGACCATTTTAGTTTTTTTACATATGATTTTTTCTTTATTTTATTAATAAAACATATTTTAAAAATAATTTTTTCTTACCCTAGTTTCTAAGTACGGAGTGCGATAGTTCTAGGGCGTATCGTTGCGCCGCTAGCTTTTGGTCCGGCCTCGGCAATTCCGTCGAGGTGCGGTTTTCGGCTTTGGTCTGACTAGTCCCCTTTCCACGCAATCTCTCAGAAAGTGATGACGTATATGAATGTGTTTTGCCCGAGTATTATTAATCCTCTTAAATTAATCTTGGGTATAACAATCACCCCCACTTAGGATCGCAACGTCCTCATTGCGCCCTTAAACCAATCTCAATCAAACCCCATAATCTTCCCCCACTAAGTGCCCGCCCGATATCCAACGGGTGAACACACTGTCGCAGGGTTGCTCTGATACCACCTGTAACACACCGGGCCCCCAGGACTCGAGGTAATTACTTCAGACCTCTAGTACTGCCCTCACAAACCGCCACTAGCCTTTTCCGCACACTTTGTCCTCACTTGTGCGCGCCCTGAGAAACTTCCCAGGGGGTCACCCATCCCAAGACTACTCCCGTGCAAGCACGCTTAACTTTGGAGTTCTTGGTAATGAGCTCCCTTAAAAGGAGATGCATCTTGTTGGTATGAGTAGTACTATTAATCCTCTTAAATTAATCTTGGGTATTACACCGTGATAGGTCTCAAGTGGGTATTCAAGAGCAAGCTCGATGAACATGGTCAGATCACAAGGAACAAAGCTAGGCTTGTCGTCAAAGGCTATTCCTAACAAGAAGGGATAGACTTCAACGAAACATTTGCACCGGTGGCAAGATTAGAAGCAATCTGAATGCTCATTGCATTTGCGACTCATATGGGTTTCACCCTCCACCAAATGGATGTCAAGACGGCCTTCTTGAATGGATATCTAAAGGAAGAGGTATATGTAGAACAACCACCGGGCTTTGAAAATCAAGATTTTCCTAATCATGTTTTCAAATTAGATAAAGCACTTTATGGCCTCAAACAAGCACCTCATGCTTGGTATGAACGCCTATCTAAATTTCTTTTGGATAACAATTTTGAAAGAGGAAAAATAGATAAAACTCTTTTTCTAAAAATAAAAGATCAAGCCCTATTGGTTGTTCAAGTTTATGTTGATGATATTATTATTGGTGCTACTAACGATTCTCTTTGTGATGAGTTTTCCTCTCTTATGAGTTCCGAATTCGAGATGAGTATGATGGAGGAACTAAATTTCTTCCTTGGTCTACAAATCAAGCAAACAAGCAAAGGAACTCAAATATCTCAACAAAAGTATCTCAAGGAACTACTAAAGAAGTATGGGATGAGCGAGGGAAAAACTATGACTACACCAATGGGGACAAATGATAGGCTGGACTCAGATGAACAGGGAAAGAGCATAGACCAAAAGATGTATCAAGGAATGATTGAGTCTCTACTATACCTAACTGCCAGTAGACCCGACATAGTTTTCGGCGTAGGTCTATGTGCACGGTTCCAGACTAATCCCAAGGAGTCTCATCTCAAAGTTGTGAAGAGGATTCTCAAATACCTCAAAGGAACTACTAATCTATGTTTATGGTATCCTCGTAATGATGATTTTAACCTCATTGCATATTCATACTCTGATTTTGCAGGTGATTTGCTAAATAGAAAAAGCACATCTGGAACGGCTCACTTCTTAGGTCCTTGCCTAGTTTCGTGGAGCTCTAAGAAACAAAATTCAGTTGCTCTTTCAACGGCCGAAGCTGAGTATTTAGCAGCCGCATCTTGTTTCTCTCAATCATTATGGATCATGCAACAAGTAAGCGATTACGGGGTTGACTTAAAGTGCACGCCCATCCTATGTGATAATACAAGTGCAATCAGCATATCAAAGGATCCGGTCATGCATTCTCGGGCAAAACACATTCATATACGTCATCACTTTCTGAGAGATTGCGTGGAAAGGGGACTAGTCAGACCAAAGCCGAAAACCGCACCTCGACGGAATTGCCGAGGCCGGACCAAAAGCTAGCGGCGCAACGATACGCCCTAGAACTATCGCACTCCGTACTTAGAAACTAGGGTAAGAAAAAATTATTTTTAAAATATGTTTTATTAATAAAATAAAGAAAAAATCATATGTAAAAAAACTAAAATGGTCATCTACATCAACTTCAGCCAATACAACCAGAAAAGTAACTCCAACCTTACTTTTTCTGCTTATTACACAATTCAGCGCGAAACCAAAAGTTGGGTATTTGGTAAAAAAGTTGGCTGATAAGCCAAAAAACAGTGTTGCCAAAAGGCCTCTAAATCTCTTTTTAGCAACGAAAGGAGTATAACAAACCAATTAATGCAGATTGTACCAAATAGATATGAAGACAATTATTTTATGTCTGTCTTCTAGATATTGAATTGTTGTTTGAACAAAGAGTAAAAAAGCCTTATGTGTCGATTATCCTATGGGCGAGAGTCATGTGGCATAGCAGAACTTGACGTGTGTCATTCTCTAATCGACCTTTGCGCCTTGCGATAGGTATCATCGGCAAGATCATCAAGGAAACGCCGTCCGGTGGGGGTGGCCTGAAGCAATTTGACCCCGTCCAGGTAGGCGTCCGGGCAGGTGGCTAGAAATTCTCCGACGAGCCTCGGGAGAAACCTCATGGCCATGGTGTGGATGGCACCAGTGTAAGCTTTGGATTTCTGGAAGGCAATGGAACCGGACTCCTTGATTTTGGCAACATCGGCCTCATAAATAGGGACATGATTGTCCACGCCAATGGCCAAGGTGACAATGGCCGAGGTGTAGGGGTGCATCCCGGGTCTGATGTTGTCCTTGCCTCTGAATGATTGTCTGGGAGCGTGTGGACATCAACGAGGTGATGGGGCCGAGGTGACATGTACGGTTGTACGGACATAAAGTGTATTTCTTCATTCTGGACTGGACTTCTTCAAGGGACCCAGTAATGTGATGAGTTTGGGCCGTTGTATATCCAAGAATGTGTGGCCGTAGATCCAAACCCATATACTCTATCATAATCCATATGCATAAATTTCGGATTCAGCATAAAGATTGAGAACACACAATATAATGATATTTTTGCCTATAATGTTGATAGTTCTGATAAAATGTAAAGGCTAGAAATGTATTCATTTTTGTCTTGAAACAAATCCTGATAAAGTTATTTTTTTTTGTTTTCTACATACTTAAATTGAACACAAAATACATTTTGATTTGATTTAATAGGGGCTCCCTTCACATGCCAAACAATTTGGGCTGCTTCTGTGTTGCATCAACAACAAGAATTTGATTATAATTTGTTATTGTTGCACACAATTATTATCTTTGACATCCTTCCTTTGTTTTCCCATTTCTCTTTTTCTTTGAGAAAACTTATTAGACTTACGTATGCACATAAGTAATACTCCGTACGTAATATATAATATGTATGTACTAATATTTTGCATAATAATAAATCAATTGGTAATTACTTAGAGCCCGTTTGGTAACATTAAAATTGGCAGAATTGGCAGAATTGGCCGATTCTGCTGAAATTTATGAAGTTATGGCTGAAGTAGCTGTATTGGCTGATTCTGTTGATTCATGAAAAATATTATATTTAAATTATTTGTTATTAATAAATTCAATAAAAAATTATATGAAAAAATAGCTAAAATGATCATCTACAGTAACTTCAGTCAATACACCCAGAAAAGCAACTACAACTTACTTTTTCTGCTTATTACAAAATCAGAAGTTACATGTTTGGAGAAAAAGCTGGTTGATAAGCCTGATAAGCCGAAAAAGGGGTCACCAAACGGGCTCTCAATCACGCAACATGCGTAATAAAAAGGAAAGTTCTCGAAATAGGACTAAAACAGTTTGAAAATTCCAAAATAGGACTGCCATGTTTTTTATTCCCAAAATAGGAGTTATTACTGCCAAGTTTGGAAAATACTGTCATGTCTGAAATCTGGTACTGCCAAAACATGACAGTAATTAGTCCTATTTTGGGAATAAAAACATGGCAATTCTATTTTAGAATTTTCAAACTTTTTTAATCCAATTTCGGGTAATATCTTGTAATAAAAACAAGTAGCTTATATACATATGGATGTAATTTTTCCTTTTAAGTTAAATTAATAATGAAAATTACAATCATTTACATTGATTACCAATAAGGTTCTTCAAACGGCTCAAGTTACTTTTTCTCAGCAGTTAAGATGATTTTTGAGAGTGCAAAATTAGAGCCCGTTTGGTAGCACGGAAATCGGCTGATTTGGCAGTTTCTGCTGAAATTTATGAAGTTCTAGTTGAAGTGGTTGCATTAGTTGATTATGCTAATTTAAGAAAAAACTATTTTAAAAATATATTTTATTAATAAAATAAAGAAAAAATTATATGTAAAAATATAAAATAGCTAAAATGGTCATCTACAGTAACTTCAGCCAATATAGCCAGAAAAGTAACTCTGACCTTACTTTTTCTGTTTATTATATAATCCAGCACGCGAAAGCAAAAGTTACTTGTTTGGTGAAAAAGTTGCTGATAAGCCTGATAATCAAAAAAACAGTGGTTCCAAACGGCGTGTTAGTGCCATAAAATCAGAATCACAAAAAAAGAGGATAATAGAGAAAAAGGAAAATTGGCAGGTGTTTGGATCTGATTCTCAAAACTGATTCTGCTCCTTCAAGGAGAAGCTAGAGTGTTTGGGTGAAATTACAGAAGCACTTCTGATGCTCTAATTTACTTCCAGAATCAATTTTTTTAGAAGCTGGGGGTACCAGCTTCTGAAAACTGATTCTGCTTCTGCTTTAGAAAAGAAGCAGAAGCAGAATCAGTTCCAAACACCCCATATTAATGATGAATGACTACTATAGTCAAACTATGATATCCTTTGACTTTTGAAAATCGGAATCACAAAAAAGAGGATAATAAAGAAAAGGGAAAATTGGCAGGCGATGGAGAAGAGATGATCAGATGAACTTGTTTGCGCTGTATATATAGGGAAAGTTCCCGAAATAGGACTAAAACAGTTTGATAATTCCAAAATAGGACTGACATGTTTTTTATTCTCAAAATAGGAGTAATTACTGTCAAGTTTGGAAAATAATGCTATGTTTGAAGTCTGGTACTGCCAAAACATGACAGTAATTAGTCCTATTTTGGGAATAAAAACATGGCAGTCCTATTTTGGAATTTTCAAACCTTTTTAGTCCTATTTCGGGTAATATCTCATATACTATCCTCTGTCTCTTTTTAATCGCAACGGGTTGACTTTTTGCACTGTTCACATGATCTACTTTGACTACATTTTACACTATTATTTTATGGAAATTATTTTTAAAAAAATATATTTTTCAATTCATCTCATTACAAGTTTTCAAAATCTGATTTTTAATATTTATTTGTTAATAGAGATTAAGATATACATACGGTCAAATGTGCGCGTTGGCAAATGTGCAAAAGTTGACTGTTGCAACTAAAAAAGAACGGAGGAAGTATTAATGATGAATGACTACAATAGTCAAACTATGATATCCTTTGACTTTTGCGCTCCTCCAATCTTAACCCTTAAGCAAGTATCGCAAAAATACCTTTCAAACTTCCATTGCGTCCAGAATTTTGCCTGCAACTATGACGTAAGCTCTTAGGGCATTGAAGATGATATTACTAGGTACATTAGTACCTATGGAGATTTCATATCAACCCCGTTAGAATTGTTGTACACAGTTTTTGGGTACCAGCCCAAGTTGTGTTTATATAGCAAAAATTCAAAAGAAAAAATTTACTCCGTTCCTATATAAAACTCTCATTCGTTGGCACCGTTTAACACTATTTTGTTTGCCATAAAGAGAAAGGGGACTTTAATTTAAGGACGACCCGAAAAGAAAAGAGGAACTTTTATTTAAAAACGGAGGGAGTATTTTGTAGACAAATTATCCGAGTTCATACATAAAATAGGGCGAATGTGTACAAAAACATATTACATAAATAATGTGTACAAATTGAATTTTCCATATTGCCTATCCCAAAATATCTCTCCCGATCTAAATTATGTGTTCATTTTTTTAAAATAATATTCCATAATTATATTCATGGTTCCCTTTTTAGTGATATATAGAGTAATGATCACCTCAGATAGTTCTAATGGGAATCACTGTTCAAACTTATCTACTTGAGAGGCTTCAAGGTGCAATTTTTTGATAAAATTTTATGAGCATGTTTATGAACTTGTTCAACCGGGGTGTCAGTTAAATAAATCATTGACATACACTGCACCAAAATGTATATAAAAATGCAATGTCTTTCAATAATTTATTTAACTTACTTCCTGATTGAATTTAAGTTGAACTTTTGTGGACACAATTTTATACTTCATGAAAAATATGCTTACAATATTTCATCAAAACACCCAGAAGCACATGAAATAGGCAAGTTCGGACAATGGCTCCCGTCGACTATCTAAGGTAATCTTTTCTGGTGATATACATAAAATAGTTATTTTTTTACAAGAGTTTGTTTACCCTCATAGAGTATTCGTCCACATTCGGCCACAAAACGCGGTACCTATGTGTGCCTAGACGTGAGGCGGTTGAGAAGGCATTCAACTGAAAAGTTTGTCAATAAATGTGTGAAAAGGTGTAAGCCTAGGCGCGAAAAAACGGAGTTTTTTAGATGAGTTATTTTTTACAAAGAAAAAAATGATTAAATTTCAAATAACATACTTTATATAAACATGTTATTATTTTATTTGAAAAGTAGTAATTAGAAGTAGTAATTAGAAAACAAAAACAAAACAATAAAGTACATCAAACTATTATTAATAGTAATGCAATAAAAACATACATAATTAAAAGAAAGAAGAAACAAATGTACTTCCAAACAATGAATTAGAGAGTATGTGTATAACAATTTAAACATTTTCTAAACTAATTAAACACATAAGTTTATTTGTGAATTATATACAGTGTATTCGTAAGTTAAAATTTTATTAGTAAATAACTTATTCTACTTTCTTTTATACAAAGATATTTATGCTCTAAAGTTTCACATTTTTTGGTATGTTGTTTAAAGTATAGTTTATACGGAGTATTAATATATATTTGTTCAATATCAAAATTAGGTGATAACAAACATACATATAATATATCAACAAAAGGAAATCTTTCCGGTAAGGTATACCTTACCGGAGGCGCCGTGCGGCCTCTACGTTTTGAGGGCCTTCCCGGTGGAATTTTGAGATGAAATTTTGTGAGCATGTTCGTCATCAAGTCTAGTACATTCATACCAAATTTCAGCAAAAAAATCAATCGGGAAGGCAGCCAATCGATTTTTGGAAGATAACTGCATTTTATATGTATATAAAGGGTGCAGTTATTTTCCAAAAATCATTTGACTGCCTTCCCGATTGAATTTTTTGCTGAAATTTTGTATGGAAGTACTAGACTTGAGTTCGGTTCGGTTTTTAGATGTGAAAACCAAAATCGAAACCAAACAACTACGGTTCGGTTCGGTTTTTTGAGTTCGGTTTCGGTTTTCTTGCGGTTCGGTTGTTTTGGTTGCGATTTGAGTTTTTTCGATTCGATTTTTGGTTTCTCCAACCCACCCCTAGACCCTAGTATACACCAAGAAAAACCAACATGAAACCCAATGGGGATGTCTACTTTCTTTACACACTCTTACACATGGTCCCATTTTTTATCTCACAAATTTTATGTGTAAGACCTACATATCTTCACATTTATTTTTATTTTTCATTTTTCTATATTACTTTTAACCCACTTTTCATCCATATTTACTCATCGATTCCCATGTAAAGTCTATTTATGGACATTTTCATAGACATTCTCTACAATTTACTCCTATCTCTCTCTTCCTTTTCATTTCTCATACACACCACTTTCTCCATATTAAATTAAAATAATCATTCTATCTCTATCTCTCTCCTATGCCACGTAGGATAGACATTACTCTCATCTACTATCCCATTGGGAATGCTCTAACATAATACTTCCTCCGTTCTTAAATAAGTGCAACGGTCAACATTTCACATTTGTCGAGGCACAACTTTGACCATTAATATATATAACTCTCTATTAGTAAAAAAAATAAAAAAAATCAGATTTTGAAAATATACAATGAGACAAAATTAGTAATATTTTTTTCAAAAACATATCTTAATACATCAATGAATAAAATGTAGTCAAAGTAGAACATGTGTATAGTGTAAAATTTTGTATGTTGCACTTATTTAAGAACGGAGGTAGTATGAACAAAGAAATGGGTGAAACTATTGAAAAAGACAGTGATGATATTTTGAAAATTGAGGGAGGGACTCATTACTTATTAACGTCCCTCATGACGTTTCTTCCTATTTCAAATCCTAAATGCAATGGAATGGAGATTTATAATGAAATGAAATGGAATTGCCTGCTTTGATAGTTTGATTTGAATGTGAAATGAGAAAAGTAAAAATTGTACGATTAAATGTTATGCAAAGAAATACTCCGTAAGAAATAAGAACTGCAAAATTATTACTTTAAAAGGATTGTTATGAATTTTTTTAACAAACAAAAATGGAAAGTTGGCAAAGTCCAATGGGACGAAATGAGTAGTGTTTCATAAGCAAATTCATTTCTAAATAAGGAGTATATATGAGCCTCTTTGCTTTTGCGCTTTTTATTCTGTATTGTGTTGCACTTTTAAACTCTGACTATATACACTTTTTGCCTATTCTGATAGTCATTAGTCCCAATATTTTCATTAAATGTTCTTCATAATTAACAAAATCTCACCGCGTTGTCAACTTAAAATTTGATCCTTTCCATCTATCTCTTTACATTAATGGCAAAGATTAATTTTGTATATATATACACAAAAGAACACACCAGTTAGTTCTGATGGGAACCACCATCACAACTTGTCTATTTGAGTTGCCTGGGCGGGTGATTTTTTTGTAAGTTTGATGAACATATTTTTCATGAAGTGTATAATTCACAAAACTTGACACAAAGTTCAATTCAGAAGTGAATTAAATAAATTATTGAAAAAAACTGTGTTTTATAAGTATAAAATTTGTGATTTCAACTAATTTCTTTTTCGTATGTACAAAATTCAATCATATATTTTTTACTTTATTATAGTCAAATTTAATACTACTTTCGTCCTGGTGGACTTTGTCAAGTGTAATATAGGTAAGAAATAAGAAAAATAAAAATTGTGTGGTTAAGAAATGTGCAGAACCACAAATTAATTACTTTAATATTAAAGTGGCACAGTTTTTTAGGATAATAAAAGGAACAAAATTGGCAAAGTTACAAGAGCGGAGGACCACTATTTATTCACTAATCCATCTGCCAATTTGACAGAGCACGATCAGATAGCTTTATACGTAGTAGACGCGAATTTAATGGAAACTGAGTTAAGACGCCGCACTTCACTTCTTCTTCTGCTTCATCTGGCAATAGCTGCCTTTCCACTTTCGTCTCAACATCAAGCAGGTAACAACGATAATGAGTTGAAAACTGCCACTTTCCGGTCACCGGCGTTTG